ATGTTTATGCTGATTCAATATCCCGGTAAAAAAAAAAAAATAAATAATGGGTATGCACGGTGGTATGAAATATATATATCATATACACTGACTCTAACAGTATACGCATCACACGCGTAACTCTGCGCAAACTTATGACAAGAATCATTTTCCCTTGCAAAGAAGCGCATTTTTGCTTGGGTTCAAACTACACACCAGTTACTCGCGCGTCGTAGCGCTTGGTAATATTTTGGCAAGGAAGCCAGTTGAATTGTTACATGTTTCTCGCGTTGGGAATAGTGTGATTAAGTTGCGTTATGTGCGTGCGGGCGTTAGTGGAGTTAGGGAGTCTTACCGGTATATCCAGGTACTTCGGGAGGACATTAGACCCTCTCAGCCGATAGTGTGTTAGGCGTTAGGGTTAGGTGTTAGGGCTAACCGAGATGAACTACTTCGCCACTGATAAAGTCGGTGGTACGGAGATATTCGAAATCGCCTGGAAACGAGAGTACAGTTGTAATACAGTGTCGATACATGTGAAACAAGTGTATCAGAAGCGATTAAGAGACAGTTACAGTAGTAATACAGTGTGATACAATGTGACTACAATGTATCAAAAGCGATTAAGAGACAGTAATTAATTAATACAGCTGTGATACAATGTATCAACACAGAACCCATGCAGAGATCAGTTATACATGGATACAATGTGATACAACTGTATACAATAATAGATTAAGAGTGCAGGAATGGGAATCGTTGGTTACGAGAATCGAAATCGTCTCATTACGAGAAATCATAAATTAAAAATCGTTGGCTTACGCGACGCTACTTCGACACAAACTGTCAAGTACTTAGAAGATCGTTGGTTACGTTGATCTTAGACCAAACTGTACACGCTTTGGAAATTCATACAAGCTTACCAACTGCACATGCTGCGTTCTTTGTGTACCAGCTCGCCTCAGTAATGTCTCACTGAGTTCATCGCTGCTGCAAGCTTGTTCTCAGTTCTGCTCTATCGATTATTCGCCCCTCTTCTCTCCGTCTCGTACTTTCAACGAGCTTTCGTCAAGTTCCAATTCTTACTTGTCGTCTCTCAATAACATCTGACTCTCGTCCTCTCTCGTCTCGCCACAACCGGCGCTCATCTATTCTCTTCTCTCTAGCGTTCGTTTTCGTTCGCGTTCGGTTTGTCGGCTCTCGTTCCGTGCTCGGTTCGTTCGGTTACGGTTCTCGCCAGCACCACCACCCATCTGCGGTCTGGCGACTCGCCTGCTCGCGCAGACAAATCTTCCAAGTGAAAGGCTTAGCTCTCAATAGATGCAGTGTGCGTGGTCCTGCTCTACTAAATACGGACACACGCACTAGACACTAGGTCGATTGAGAAATGGCACACAATACTTGCATGGTTGGAATATCGTAATCGACTCTGTGACTGCCTGCGCCACGCCTTCTGCGCCGACAGCAACGTCCGTGTACTGTGGCTTTTCCACAAGAGCGAATCTTCCGCATCATTACTGCCTCCCAAGCCAAGTGGCACAAACGGTATGTCACATTTCTCAGCGGGATTCTGACTTTAGAGGCCGTTCAGTCATAATCCCCAGATGGTAGCTTCGCACCACTGACTTTTCGCATCAAGCACATGTACCAAATGTCTGAACCTGCGCGTCCGCTCTCGTACTGGAAACGCAGGATTTCTTCATGCAACAACACGCATCAGTAGGGAATACTAACCCCCCTGTCTCACGACGGCTAAACCCAGCTCACGTCCCCTATTGTGCTATGAACAATTCCACACGCTTGGTAATTCTGCTTCACAATGATAGGAAGAGGCCGACATCGAATGATCAAAAAAGCAACGTCGCTCATGAACGCTTGGACTGCCACAAGCCAGTTATCCCTGTGGTAACTTTTCTGACACCTCTTGCTTAAAAACTCCTAAAAGTCAAAAGGATCGATTAGGCCACGCTTTCACGCGTCTTATTCGTACTGAAAATCAAAATCAAGCGAGCTTTTCCCTTTTGCCTTACGCGAGAACAGGTTTTCTGCCTCGCTGAGCCTCGCCTCTAGACACCTGCGTTACCCTTTGACAGTGTTAACACGCCAGTCAACTCCCTGGCCTGACAACTGCTCTTCGAGCGATTGCCTCGGCACTACTACCGACGGTTTAATTCGAGAATAAAGAGCCGTGAGCTCGCTTCCGCTTCATCGAATAAGTAAAGGACTCGATGAAAGTAGTGGTATTTCACCGGCGGCGGAAGCCTCCCACCTAATTTACACCTCTCATGTCTCTTCACAGAGTCGGACTAGAGTCAAGCTCAAACAGTTGGACTCAGAGGCTGGGAGCTCCCCAGGGGTCACATGCGTTTTTTATCTTTCACGAGGTCCTCTTTCATTTGCTGAAAGAATTTTCCTATGCGGGAATCTGGCAGAATGGGAACCAAAAACAGCTTTCAGTGCCTGATAAAACAGTGGCGAATAGCCATTTCCCCCCAACAAAATAGTCATCAGAATCGAAAATTCAAAACCATTTTGTCACAGAGCGATGCACCTATCAGAATAACACATTTGCTTGATGAAAAAATTTGCCATTCATTTAATTGATTTCAAGACGATTCATTGAAATTCATTTTGAAATTCATTGCCATTCATTTATGAATTAAACAGCCATTCACAGCTGCCAGACGGATTTCCCCGGTTTCTTTTCAATATTTGATGAATGTATTTATTGCATAATCATTAGGGCAGTGTAGGAATTCCAAGCCTGTATTGTTTAAGAACCAAGCGTAAATTCTGAGCGCGGAAGCCATTTTTGCGACAACCCAAACACGCACTATAGCTGCAGAAGCTGGGAAATCCGTGAATTTTCCCCCCAAGAAATTAGCATCAAAATCAAAAAATTTTTACGGTGAGGCATGTTGTCCTAGGCAATAAAACTAACAAATTGGCACATTTCTTTAATTCGAAAAATATATTTCTAAAGAGTTAGAAGCGTTTCCCCGCCATTGACCGACGCTTGAACAGCACCAGAGCTGCAAAGCTGGAGAAATCGCGATTTTCCCCCAAAAAAATGTCGTCAGAATCGAAAATTTTAACATGCTTTTTATGCTGGGCAATGAAGCTAACAAATTTTGCCCCAAAAAGTTTTTATGCGAAAACTATAGTTCTAAGCAGTTAGAAGCGTTCCCGCGCTATTGACCACGCATTGAACAGCACCAGAGCTGCATAGCTGGAGAAATCGCGATTTTCCCCCAAAAAAATGTCGTCAGAATCGAAAATTTTAACATGCTTTTTATGCTAGGCAATGAAGCTAACAAATTTGCACATTTTTTAATGCGAAAAATATATTTATAAAGCAGTTTAGAAGCGTATTCCCCAGCATTGACCGACGCTTGAAACAGCACCACAGCTGCCAAACTGAAGACAATCGCGATTTCCCCCCCAAAAAATGTCGTCAGAATCCGAAAAATCTTTAACATGCTTTCTATCTACCAATGAACCAAACAAATTTGCACATTTATTTTCATGGTGCGAAAATCATCACTTTATAAAGATGTTAGACGCGTTCTTCCCGCCAGTTGACCGCACGGCTTGAACAGCACCAGAGCTAGCTATAGCATGACAGAATCGCATTTTCCCCAAAAAAATGTCGTCAGAATCAAAATTTTAACATACATGCTTTTTTATTGCTAAGCAATTGACAACAAATTTGCCACATTTTTAATCGCGAAAAAATATGTATATTATAAAAGTTAGAAAGCGTTTCCCCGCCATGACCGACGCTTTGAACAGCACACAGCTGCAAGCTGAAGAAAATCGCGATTTTCCCCCTAAAAAATGTCGTCAGAATCTCGAAAATTTTACATGTTTTTTATTTGCTAGGCCAATGAAAGCTAACAAATTTGCACATTTTTCATGCGAAAAATATATTTATAAAGAGGTTAGAAGCGTCTTTCCCCGCATTTGACCGACGCTTGACAGCACACGCCTTGCAAAGCTTGAAGACAATCGCCGATTTTCCCCAAAAAAATGTCGTCAGAATCGAAAATTTTAACCCATGCTTTTTATGCTAAAACAAAGAGCTAACATCTCAATCTGTGCCCATTTTTTTAATTTGCGCACATAATATAATTTCTAAACATTGTAGAATGCGTTTCCGCCATCTTCGACCGATCTATAAACAATACAATCAGCACCAGAGTGTGTTCAAAGAACCGGATTAAATTAACGATGTCAGTTACTGCCAGGATTCCGCTGGCAATGCAGCTAGCAATGCAGTATTGAAGCTGACAGGCCAGACGAGACAGGCATATCTGAAGCAGGACTCTGCTTATGTGATAGCGCAGGAGGTCCACCATTCCTGTAGACATGCAGACATTTTGGTCAGAAGAAGGCAGACAAGAGCCAGACAACTTTCCAACGATGGCAGCCAGGCAGAATAGCCAATGTGAGGCAGACAGCGATGCAGGTTTCGCGATGGTAGGCAGGCAGCCATGCAGGCACTTCGGTTACTATATTATGTATGTGTTTGCGCGCGCGTGTGTGTGCGTGCGCGTGTGAGTTCGGGTGCGCGGGGGCGGGCACGGGGTTTACTACAGGTATCCTAGATACAGTTGGAAGAATACCTGATCGTAACGTAATCGTATATGTTTGTGTATTTGCGTGCGCGTGGCATGCATCATGATATCTGTCCCCACACCATAGATTAATTTTTGTGGATCACAATGCCTATATATAGCGCTGCGAGATATATATATTTAGTTGTAGGGTTAGTGTTGGAGGTCTTGTAGTTAGAGTTACCGTTAGGGTTAATGTTTTGAACGTCATAGTCAACGTTATCACGTGACCTCCCTCCACGCCCGGGGGATAGCAACACCCTTGGGTTTGCATGGACAAGGCATTACTGTCAAAACGCGCGCCACCTCTCGGCGAGAGCACAACTGGTTTCCGCATTTTATAGCGGCGTCTACACTATAGACTAAAACCGTTTTCGGTGGTGCAGCGTCTACACTATAGACTAAAATCCGGGTTTTTAAAACCCGCGTTTTAGTAAAACGCGCGTTTTCGGTGGTGCAGCGTCTACACTGTCAAAAACCCACCTTCCGTGAATGCACCCATCTAGTACCGACTGGTGGGATACATAGCTAAAACGCGGGTTTTCTGTCATGTTCTGTCTACACTACGGCGCTCGACTAAAACGCGGGTTTTAGCAGAGCAAAACCCGGTAATATTGCCGGGTCTGTAAAAACCGCGTTTTTACAAAACCCACCTCTAAAACCCGCGTTTTAGCAACAGTGTAGATGCGGTAAACCCGGGTTCTAGCATAGTGTAGACGACGCTATTATTTCTCCGTTGAGAGGAGAGAAAGGACGACTGATCCTAGCGCGCCATTGTTTATCGCTGTAGGCTTAGTTGGAGCGAATTTCAATTGAAAAGAATTGAGCAAGCCGAAATAGATTTTACAATTCGGTCCTTTGATTTTAGGCTGGATGACCGCCGCGGTTCAGAGAGGGCGAGTGATAGAGAGGGAGGGAGAGAGAGAAGGGGGAGATAGCGCACGAAAGAGAAAGAGAGAGAGAGAGAGAGAGAGAAAGAGAGAGAGAAATGGTGAGAGAGCGAGAGAAAGCGCGCGGGGAGGGAGAGAGATAGAGAAAGGAGATATATATATATATATATATATATATATATATATATATATATATATATATATATATATATATATATACATATATAAAGACAGATAGAGATATAGAGAGCAAGACGGAGATAGATAGACAGAGAGACAGACAGAGCAGGAACGATAAGGTGCGAGCATGTACGCACGCACGCACTCACACACGCACGCCCGTACTCGTCGTTAAGCAATATGCTATGGTCTGCCGAGCAAACGAAATATGAAGTTAGCAATACATGACACGTTGCGCTCCATAAATTGATTTTGAATGTTTCAGACCGGAAGATTTTATTTATAGCCAACTACTATATATTTGACTGATCAAATTATGATAAATACATCTATAATCAGAATAACTGAAACTAACAGTTAAATGTGAAATATATCCATCCTTCAATCTGTAAAACAAATAAATGTTAAAAATAAATTTTAGTAAATATTGAACACCAATCGACGTTTGCATATTCATTTGGGTAATTCACTCCCCCATTTCGCTGAAAGTGTCTTAACCCTACAACAACCTTCTTACTTAATTGTGATATTTGGTAAGAGTCTGTCGCATGCTGAGTCACATTCGATGGATTGCCCAGCAAAGGCAGACATCTTACGTGACAGCTTAATTCCAACCGAAGCACTGCGCGTGGGGCTTATACTGTCGCAACCACTTTATCAATCCATTTTGCAATCATCTATCTACGGCAGATTTACGCACAGCATCTAAATGCACCGCAACGCGGCCGCCCGCCTCGCAGCTTTGACTCTCCTTGATTTAATACGTCAATCAGACGGGAACCGACAGAATTGACTGCGGGAGGGGGTGGCTGAGATGTGACCGCGAGCGCAGCGGCGACGGCGAGAGAGCAATCCGCGCGCGCGCGATAAGCTTCCTTCTCTCGCTGCGGGGTCTTGGCAGTCGCGAGGCGGGGAGGGAGATTGCCAAGAAATCGCCTCTAACCTGCACCACCCATGCAGAAAGCAGAAAGAGGAAACACGAAGCCAATCGATGCGGCGGCCCGATTTTTTGTCGCGCACGCTAACACTTATAGATCTACCGACGGTGTTGCGAGTGTCAAGGCGGCGTCTGCTACGCACCTCCGCAAACCATTAGTCACTATTTCGTGCGAGGGAAGCACCTTGTCAGAGAGTCAAGGCAATGCGGCTCGTTTGAGATTAAGCGAACAAATTTGCGCGAGTGATTAAGACGAATCTTCCCGGCAGGAGAGATGCATGGGAAGGTTTGACACCCGAGTTCAGGAAGACGCCGCGGGGGTTCCCGACGTCCTGCCTTCTTCGCACGACGGCGCG